ATGATATGCTCGATTTCATTTAAAAAATATTAGATTAAGGAACACTTTATCCGGAAAATATGCACATATCATCTACAATGTAAAGCGAAAGTTATGATTAGAATGCAAGATGTGGGATCCCTTTACTTGGCGGATAAAGCTCCCATATTATACATACATACATAAGTACAAAACAATGCAGCTGTTGCATGAGGAACCGCTTAAGTACTGATAGTACAAAATCTTATCATTTTCACCATAAACCAATTAAGGTTAGTCATGTTTTTTATGTTTTCAGGAGGTAATTACATTTTCTATTAGAAATAAAATAAAAGATGAACTTTCTGGTTTATTATATTTGTTAACGGCAATTTACACTTTAGGTAAAATGTTGAATTAGGAATAAATAGTTATGAAGTCTTAACGAAACAATAACATTTTGTCGTTTATTTGCAACAACGAATATAATATGTACACATGGAGTTTTAAAAAGAGTGTGAAAGGCACCGATTCCCGCTTATGAATAATTAAAAACAGAACCCTGGCTTAGATCCAATCCTTGGGGTTCTTCAGGACCTTCATCAGCTTGCCCTCCTCGGACTTGGACTTGGGCTCGTGCATGTACTCCCAGCGGGCGTGCAGGGGCAGTGACATCAGGATGCTCTCGTACCGGGCTCCGGGCGTGTATAGGCCGAACTTGGTGCCGCGATCGTAGATCAGGTTGAACTCCACGTAGCGTCCGCGGCGCAGCAGCTGCCACTGGCGTTCGTTGTTGCCGTACTCCTGGTTCTTGTGCTTCCGCACCAGCGGCATGTACGAGGGGATCACAGCACGGGCGCAGCTGGCCACAAAGTTGAAGGCAGATTCCTGGTTAGGCGAGTCAATGTCGTCGAAGAAGATGCCGCCGATGCCGCGGCTCTCGTTGCGGTGCTTAATGCGGAAGTAGTCGTCGCACCACTTCTTGAAACGCGGATAGTAGGTGGCATCGTGCTCGTCGCAGGCTGACTTCAGCGTCTGGTGGAAGTGGCTGGCATCCTTTTCGCAGAGGTAATAAGGCGTCAGGTCGGTACCACCGCCGAACCACCACTGCGTCTCACCCTTGGCAGTCTCCACCTCGAAGTAGCGGTAGTTAAAGTGGATGGTGGGTACATGGGGATTCCTCGGATGGATTACGGCACTCACGCCGCTGGCAAAAAATGGCAGGGCGGCGCCCTCTTTCAGGTTCTTGCCGCGCGCCCGCATCTGCTGCACTGCAGCCGGGGGCAGGGAGCCGGTGACCACGGAGATATTCACGCCCGCCTTCTCGAAGACATCGCCATCCTGCAGGACGCACGTGATGCCGCCTCCGCCCTCAGGCCGCTCCCAACGGTCCACCTTGAACTTCTGGCCGCAGTTCTCCTCCGCCTCCAGGGCGCGACAGAACTCCGCCTGGATCTCCATGATCAGCAGCTCCATGCGATGTCGCATGTTATCCTTGTCCTCCAACAGAGCCTTGGAGTCCGTAATGGGCTCGGCCATGAACCGCGATATGTCAAGCTGCACCCCCTTGACCTTTGGGTTGACCGCCTCGGCGGAATGTGCGTACGTGACCGCCGAAAAGCTGGCCAGGCCCAGTCCGGTGCCGAGGAGAAAGCCCCCAACATGATGGCCCCTCGTCCGGCGGATCAGTTGGAAGGTGCCCAGCGATACCAGGGATATCGTGTGACGAAGTGCGTTCATTTTGTGCTGTTGCCCTACTTCGAATTTTTAACTTATTGTAAGTACTTTCCCCGAACGCACTCTGTTTGTTATCTTTTACCTCACCGGCATTTCTAGTTGCATAGACTCTAGTGTGACCGCAGACGGCCGTCTGGACTTCCAAAATATACTGCAAATATAAGTTAACAATTTTTTTAAATTTAATTTTATTAATACATGGAGAAAGTGGGGGAAGAACACGTTTTACGTTTGTTTTTTAAAGAGGTTAAATTCTTAAAATTTGACGATTATTGCCAGCTCAGACAATTCCTGATTTCCCAAAGAATACTTTCGACTCTACTTTGAGTTTACAATTTATAAAAGGCATTCGTTCCTTTTTAACATATGTATGTTATTTATATTTTTATAAATCTATCTATCTATTGTATATGAAATTTTCCGATTCAAAAATCTTTTTTGTATTTTGATTATTCTTCTTTTTATTCTGTTCTATCAAATGTTTGATACCCCACTCAAAAGTTACAGGTGTACCAACTTTTTTCATCTAGCTATTGTACATGAAATAAGCCCATTCGAAATACGGTTTTCATTTTCGATTAATATTGTTTGTTTTTTTGCTTTTTGATTTATTTAATTCGATTTTTGCAGTGCATAATGTACATTCTTTTTTTTCCCAATACTTAGGAATACCCCAATGTGAATGGAGTCTTAAATACGGTCCCACTGATTCGGCTTTTGAAAAAAACGTCTGTCAAGGCGCGTCGATCGCTAGCAAATGAGCGTGTTGTGAAGAAATTGATCGAACGATATAGATATAATTGAGTGCGTCGCAGAAATTATCGCCACAAGGTAGGTGATTAACTGGACCCAACTCTAAACGTTTTAAACTATAGGCAATTAAACAACAAATAAACAAACATTTTGACTGGAGTCGTGCGCCCAGGACACACGCACACATACGCGATCTGAGTTTGAGGCCATACAGAGAACGCTATGTCGGGCCTCAAGAAATTCCAAAACACTGAGGAATGGCGTCAGAAACTGCGTCAGTTTCTCATGGCAGAGCGGTAAATACGACATTCAAACCCCTTTCCTTGGATAGTGTTGCACTAGTGTTCGATTCCATAGCCATAGCCAACCATTTGATTTTGCATAGACACCCTTTTTGAATGCCTGCATGTCAAAAATGATATACATAGAAAAATAGCCCGAATATAGAGTAAATATTAGTGTTATTTGAGAAGACTACAGTTCCAACTTTCAGATTGCCGAAAAAACCTGTAAGGATGGATGAATCGAAGGATATGCGCTACAGTCTGGAGATCGATGAGGATCTCAGGAGGCCGCTGGAGGCCAGAGCGAAGAAAGTTCCGCCTGCCAATCCCGTCAGCCATAAGACCATCAGTCTTAGCGAAGATACCATGTACGAGGGGGCCTCCATGGATCACTTGTGCGATGGCGATGATAGTTTCAGTGCCTTCGAACGAATGTGCGACAAGACGGGCTCCGATCCGGACAGCACTCTGTTCCAGTACCTGCACAGCGAGGACCGAAGCCAGATGATGTCCAGAGAAAAGGATCGCAGCACAGATGATCAGAAGGAGATCGATGCACTGCGTCGCATGCTCGAGGCGGTGGGTACCGAAGACGACCTACTGGAGAACGAGAGTCCCGTCAAGGGTGTGGAGTGCACGCAGCTGGAGGATGTTGAAGCGCCGTCGCGTTTTTGGGACAACACTCTGGCCGTGCTCGATGAGACTGCCTCTGGGTCTGGCATGGAGCACAAGGCCAGAGTCTCCCCTGTCAAAATGGTGGGCCTGCTTCGCCCCTCGACCATCATCGAGGATAATGAGTTGGAATCGGATGTGTCTTCCCACGTAAGCTTCCAAAGTGCTCGCACACTGAAGACAAATGCCTCCAGTAGTTACGAAACAGCCACGGATAGTTCTCTTAGTGGAACCCTTTTGAACGTTGATGATCTGTTCTACGCCGCAATTGCCAAGGCCAAGCCTCCGGGAATGTCAAAGGGAGAAGAGCTGGAGCTTCTCAGCGATCTTCACGGCAGTCTACGGGAGCTGGCATCGCTTTCAAAGGAGGAGGAAAAAGAGCAGGAGGAAGAGGAGGAGGAGGAGCAATTGGATGATGTAGAGGATACAATAATCGAATTGTCCTCCTCTGAAGATGAGGAGGTGCAGCTTGTATCAGAAGTAAAGCTAGAAGACACATCTCGTGTGTCATCAGTGCACGTCAAAGATGTAACTGAACCGGAGCAAGCGGAAGAGAGTTTTGAGAACAAAGAAAACTCGATGCATTTCAATGATACCATGGAGGAAATGCAATACATGATGCAAAAGGGCATGGAGTATATGGCTGGTGGAGCTTCAACTACCCCCGCTGCGAAATCTGAAAGCCCAGTTCTTGCCAAGCAGAAAACATTTGTGATTTCTCCGAAGCAATCGCCGGCTACGGCTTTTTTGCAGCCATCATTACCGCTGCGCGCCTCTAACAAGCCGCCGACAGTTGTAGCTTCGCCCAGCAAGGGAAGACAGCCGCCCAAGATCGACCTAAGCATGGAATGGACCAGAAAGAAGTTCTTTAGTGCGAACTCGGGGATTCCACAACGTCGTCAACAGCAGATAAAGCAGCCCTACGCCAATATTGTCAGTCCTATTCGCACCTACACCCAGAAGTCTGGCATTGCTCCACTTATGAGTACTTTCCGTCCAACCAGTACCGATATGTTAACTACCTTGGCCATCAGTGAGCTGGAGCAGGAGTCCCGTTTGTGTCAGCCGAAGTCGCTTTTCACCGCGAAGTCCGGAACATCCACGGCGGTTGGAGAGGATGGGCAAGGGATTAAGGGCATCGATTCGACCGCTCATCTACTTCCCAAAAAGGCTTACATATCCTCGGAAATAAAGCACGTAAGTTTAATCCTAATTTCTGGATCCTTTTTCTATCTAATCGATTTTAAATAACAATCTATTATTTCGTATTTTCCGTAATATTATTGATCGAAATTTCCCTTATATTGAATACAAATTTCTTTCTTTCGACAGGTGGTGGATGAACGTACTCCTGTGCCCATGCCCAAGGTTCCTCAGATCCAGAAATACCTTAACTCGGCTGTGGAACCGACTGTCCTGCGTCACGATGGCAAAATGAAAATGCCTGGCGAGGCCACCCGCAACCCGTCCTCATCGCACATCCCACGCCGCGCCAATCACAGCCTTGCTGATTTGTCGCTCGCCTCAGGGGACGTGTCCTTGTATACGATAAGAGATGCCCAGAAATTTTAAGGCCCTTAAAAATAATCCACTCTCTTAATATTGGAACAATAATAATAAATGTATTGTATAACTAGGTGCTAGTAAATGCCTTCGTTTTCGTTTCGTTAGAGGTAGCAGGATTAAGGACCAACATCACTGGGTTCGCGGCTGAGGACCCTTCCAGGCCCGATTGACCTTGGACTCGGACTGCCTGCCCAGTTCGTTGCAAATGTAGCGGCCCACTTGAATGAGTTTGTCCAGACTGACGCCTGTATCAAGACCCATGCCATGTAGCAAGTAGACCACATCCTCAGTGGCTGCGTTGCCAGATGCTCCCTTGGCATAGGGGCAGCCGCCCAGGCCAGAAACCGAGGAGTCAACCACCCGAATGCCGTAGTCCAGGGAGACCAGTATGTTGCTCAGTGCCTGGCCGTAAGTGTCATGGCAATGCACGGCCAGATTCTTGGCCGGAACAGCCTTGGTTACCTCGTCCAGCATACGGCGCATTGAACCTGGAGTGCCAACTCCGATGGTATCGCCCAGGGAGATTTCGTAGCAACCCATTTGATGCAGGGCTTCCACCACTTTGACCACGGCTTTTGGCGCAACGGCTCCCTCATACGGGCAGCCTACGACGGTGGATACATATCCCCGGACACGAACTCCATGCTTTTCGGCTGCCTTTAGCACAGGCTTGAAGCGTTCAATAGCCTCTGCTGCCGTGCAATTGACGTTCTTCAGGGAAAACGCATCCGATGCGGCTCCAAAGACAGCCACCTCCTCGGCTCCCGCCTCCAGAGCACTCTCGAATCCCTTTAGATTGGGCGTAAGCACCGGATAGCTGATCCCGGCCACCTTGCGGATGCCTCTCAGCACCTCCGCATTGTCACCCATCTGGGGCACCCATTTGGCGCTCACAAAGCTGGTGGCCTCTATGGTCCGCAGTCCCGTTTCGGACAATTGATTGATCAGCTCGATTTTGGTGGCTGCCGGCAGCAGTTTGGGTTCGTTTTGGAGACCATCCCTTGGACCCACCTCCACAATTCGCACCTGGTTGCCTGTGCTTGAGACCGCCGTACGCTGTTAATTTGCAAGGCATTAGGCTCAAGTTCATAGGTCATATTTTTTGTGAATTCACCTTTGTTGTGAGCCTAAGGAATGGGCGAATTGGTGGAACTTTCATGGCTGCAATTTGTAAATAAAAGTTACGTATCTTCTTCCCTTTCACCAGATAACAGCTGATAACGATCCAAGATCGATTGTTTGCCAAATTTCGATAACTTTGTAATTTGCATTGCGGTTCCATCTCTAACAAAGAGACGTTGTCTAAACAAATTTGTAGGGGGTCAGGCCTTTAAACATAAATAATATATATTTTATTTATTCAATCATAAATCATATTCTTTAAACGCTGGTATGCTAAAAGGGATCTAGTATTATGTTTCATATTAACTCAAAAATAATTTTGGAATATTCATTTTTTTTTAAATGTTAACTATCTCAATAAACAAATTAAAATACTACCTTTTTTATTATGTTTCCCACGGATACTGCTAATGTGTATTGGTAATATCTAAAATTAAGATTTATATTCTAAATAAATCATTTTTCAAATATGCATTCCCTTCTCTACGCTACGCCCATGCCTAACATGTGTTGATAATCCTTATTTGTAAACAAACTTAAACGTATTTATCACTTGTACGGTACGGAGTTTATTGTATTTATTTATGGTTTATAATGGAGCCGGAACCAATAGAAGGTTCATCTCCTGAGGATGAAGATGTTTTCCATTTTGAGACCGAGCACCTAGCCCTTCGGGGCAACCAGTCCTATGCCAACTTGTTGCGCACCATGGCCGTGCTGCAGGCCCAAAGGATTCGGGTCCATCAGCAGATCGATGAGCTGGAAGCCACCAGAAAGGTCTACTTGGATAACCCGCAACTGATGCTGGACAAGCTGCAGAACAACGAGCCCTTGATATCGGACAACTGCATCACCACGGCTGTGTTGCCGGAGTTGCCAACTTTGATCGCCAATGACGAAGGATGTGTATTAAATGAGACACCAGCGGAACCGTCTTCATGGACACATCAGCCCGAAGAGATTAAGGACAGGAGCCAAGGCCGGTCGGAGAACTTCAATCGCTTGTGGACCAACGAGGAACAGCGCCGCTTGGAGCAGCTGCTCATCCAGTATCCGCCAGAGGAAGTGGAAATGCGACGATTCGGCAAGATAGCCAAGGCCTTGGGAAACCGAACGGCTCAGCAGGTGTTCAGCCGCGTCCAGAAGTACTTCCAAAAGCTGCACGATGCCGGCATGCCGGTGCCCGGTCGAATACCCAAGCATCGCCGCGCGGGCCTGAGTAAGCCGAAGGTCCACTTACGTAGGTCTACATTCTTTCCTGCCCAGAATATATCCCTGCAAATGCCGGAGGATGACTGCATATTAGATGACCTGCGGATCCAATCGCCTGCCAACGAGATGCTCCTTATGCCGACATCTTTACAAACCAAGACTGAGCACGACTATTTGGATGCCGATCTGGCTGCGGAGGCCAAGCGCAAGCAGGAACTGCGCCTTAAGCTTCTTACTTCCATTCAGGATGAGAAACAGCAGGTCGAGAATGGCTATGAGCCCGATCTGCTGGCAGCCAAGTGTGCCGAATGCGAAGAGGCGTCTGTGACCAGGACCCAATGGCGTTGCAACAGCTGTTATTGTCACCTAAATCTGTGCGGAGATTGCCTCGCCAGCCAGTTGATCGAAGGTCGCTTCGAGCATCTGAGCCATGAAGTTGTAGTGGACCTAGAGTCATGATACTTTTTAATGGAAAAGTGGATTAAAATAAAGAATTTACTTAGGCAAAGATCCATATTTTTACAACATTTTACCATCTTTTATGAAATAAGTTTGATAGTTTATCAAAAAACCAATCAATTTTATGTGATAAATATATGCCACAATTTAAGAAAAAAGGCATTCCGGTTTTATACCGAGTTGCATGGTTAAAAAATTGGTTAGGGATGTATTGCACCTGATAACAAGAAAGGAATATGTGTTGTTTTTCAGAATATATTTATTTGTTGACAGCTTAAGGTAATACAATTATAGAACGAAAATTCAATAAAATAAGATACCTACTTAATTTCGCGTTAGGGCAGCTTTCGGTAGGGACTGAAGTCGCTGGCGACGCTTGGCTTCAAACTCGGTAGCCAGCTGCCAGGTTTCTTTGTCTAGTGTGTCTTTTCCCCGGGCTATGCCCAAAAGCCGCGAGAGAACTAGCAATCCATGCAGATCATCGGCATTACTTTTCGAATTAGCCTTGCGCATATTAACAAAGTCCTGCTGGATCATTTCAGTGTGCTCCTCGCTGACGCTAAAGTTGCTAATCCGTGCTGTGGTTAAATACTTGCGAAACTGATGAAGGCGCGCCGGTTGCAGATAGTGGTGGGCTGCCTTTAGAGATTCTTCGAAGAGTTCCACTGCCTTCGCATCTGCATTGATGGGCATTACGAAATCGCTCTAAAAAGGATAATAATTAGTTAAAACGGAAGTTTAAATTAATATTAGAGCTTTCAGATTGCTGAAATCCTTACCGGCAGCATACTTCGTCCTTCACTGAGGACGAGGACCGGAATGTTCGCATGGTAGTCTATTTGGTAATACTGGAAGTCGCACTTTAGCTCCTGGTTGTTGATCAGATGAGCCAAATGCTGGACGGCATGAACGCCATTGGCCTCCAGCTTACCCTGCTGCAGGCGTGTCTCGTCGAGCACGAGATGCGTGTGGGGTGCCAACTGCAGAACGCCGGACACCAGCTTATTGGTTTCATAGTCCTTCCTGAAAGAACAATCGTTTTATGTCTTAAATGCTGTCAACTAATCTAGTTTATTCCACTCACTTTGGGGCAAAGGAAACCGTGTTCAACGTCTCCAGGGTCATGGGCAGGTAATGGCTGGCCGGTAGTAGCAGCTTCAGAATATCATACAGAGATGTTGAGTACGCCTGACAATCCTTGGGCAGATTACAAAGATTTAGGGCAAACTTGCCAATGCTCTGCATCTCGGAGCGGCTGTAGACTGATGAAATTAAGTGCGATAGCAAATACTCGGCAGCCAGATCGTCGTCAAATAGGCAGAGTTTAAGAAGCATGCGCAGATCCTTGTGCACAGCCAGTTGGGATGGCTCCGCCTCTTCGCTTGCCTCAATTGGCTGGCGCAGGCTTAAGTCCATGAGCGGATTGGCATGCGGCAGCATCCGGACGCCGAAGGCATGGAGTCGGGGGATGAGGAATGGCGATGGATGAGCTGCCTGCAGTTCACTTAAGTTTTCACAATCGCCTATGTCGAGGGTAGCAAAATCCAGCGAGGAGTCCACTGATAGAAAGCCCACAAAGTCGACTAGGGTGTTGAGCTGATAGGTGTCGAACTCCTCATAAACCTTTACCATGCAGGCCATGCTGGGACGATCAGGCAGTGGCGAATTAAGCAGGTACTCGGAGGCGAGAACAGAGGAGTTAGGGGCAGCCACCGGTTCCTCATCGGTCTGCATATTTTTCATACATGGCCGCTTAACGGCTGTATCGCCAGCTCCGTCCACCTCCATGGCGTCCTGTTCTTCTAGAGTCCGCTTCTTGGCTGAGCTAGGAGATTGACCCAGAGGGACCAGCTCGATCTGTGGACAGCACTGCTTCTCGTGCTCCTTACTCCACTCGTTCAGGCCCGGCACGGAGATCACAAACATGGTTCGCCTCTCGCCGTGCACATTGCCCTCGGCATGGTAGTCGATCTCCTCGCCGGTGGCCAGTTTCAAGCAGTCCCTGTACTTTCCGTCCTGCAGCCGCTTACTGCTATCGGGGGACTTGACCTCGTAGCGCTCTAGGTAGATCTCCGGGTCCATCATGTCCTGGATCATGCCGCGGAACCGCACCAGAGTCTGATCCTTCAGCTTGTGCAGCGGTGTGTAGTTCAGCAGGGGAATGGAGTGCCAGCGACTGGGGTCCTTGAGCAGCTCCTTGAGGGCAGCGCTGTCCCTGTGCTGGGCGGCCAGTTCATCGGGCGTGCAGGGCAAGTCCATGGCACAGGGCATAACTTAATTAGTTAGCAAAATTGCAAAATTTCTAAAAGCCAATGCAAAAAACAACAGCTGCTTTTGGCGCGCCAAAATCTGATATGCGGCGAGATTCGATTAATTCTATCGACGTGCCTATCGATGGCTGCCAGGGCTGACGAACCCGAACCTCTGCGGCAGAACGGATGTCCGGAAAATCCGCAAAAAATTGTACAATTTCGGGGGCCAGGAAAAGGAGCCATGAATAAGAAAAGCAATGTGTGGCAGTTCTTTTACAAGACCTCCGGGACTGTGGCCAAATGTCTTTTGTGCAACAGAAACTACTCGAGGAGGGGACGCGGCACCACCTGTCTGCGGAATCATCTGAAGAGCAAGCACCCACCGGAGTTCCTGGCTCTTTCCGGAGACATAAAGTACCTGGATCTGGTGAAGAGCGAGATCTCGATTGGTTCGCCCCTGCACCCAACAGCCCAGTTGGAACTGAATTTGCACGTAAGTGGGGGATAAGTTTAGTTATGTAGGTGTATTTCATATGATATAAGTTGGGGGCTCTGACCATCTGTAGCCACATACTCTTATATGTGGAGTTTATTCACTAATCCTTACTTTTAATTTTGAAATTATTTAAAATATGAAATTATTTTCAACATTATTACATTGTACATTTTTTTTTTTAATTCGGAATTTGACACCATTACTGTAGCGGATGCGGATATCCGCAAATCTATTGTCATAGTGAAATAATTGCTTATCAGATAAGCAAACATAAATATATATTTTTTAACTATTTAAAAATGTATCATGTAAATATCGTAAAGTTTGTTTATTTAATGTAATGTATTTAAACGTTAAAAAAATACTTTCATTATACTGAACTTTTTTAACTTGACCTTACATTAGGAACCAGATCCTGATCCTTTGGACACCGATGACATTTCTTATAGTCTGCGCTGTGATGAGAAGATGGCCCTCATGCTATTAAACCACTCCTTTGAGTTCATCGAAGGACCGGGATTCATAAATTTGATAAGGGTGCTGCAGCCCAGGTATATGATTCAGTCAAGGAGCTACTATGAAAACATACTGTGTGGGAATATATACAGGAAAATGCAAGAACATCTAAAGCTGCAGTTGGATCTGTTAGATGCCATCTCGTTATCCACAAGCCTTTGGCGGGGAGACAAAGGTGAAGGACTGCTGAGCCTATCTTGTACTGGGATCTCAAGGGACTTTAAAACTCACCGCTTTATGCTGAAGTGTGAGGCTTTAAATTATGAAAGCACTTCTAAAGTTGCATGTTCTATTCGGGATTTAGTGCCCAGCTTGACGATAGAGGTGCCCAAGGAGAAAACGCACTGCATCATTAGGGATGAGATGACGGCTCTGCCAGGATCCCTGCCCGATTGCAGTGTCCATCGCTTGCAGATGTGCGTGAGATTTGCTTTGCAGTCGAACGAATTGCTTCAGAACCTGTCATCGAAATGCAAGCAAATAGTGGACCATTTTGCTTCCTCCAAGATGGCCAACGATCATCTAAAATTTATCCAAGAAATCCGCCTGACCCGAGACCCTTGCTCGCTAGTACCTTTTGATCCTTTGCAATGGAACTCAACGTTCAAGATGATGGCCAGCGTGATCCGAATGAAAGATGCCATATCCCTGTATTGCGAAGAGTATAATCTGGTCCAAATTTATCCCGATGAATGGGTAGAAATTGACTTGTGCAGCAAAGTAATGCAGCCTTTTGAGGAAACAATTAAGATTTGGAGCAATCCTTCAACGACAACTTCATCGGTAATTCCACTGGTGGCCGCTTTACGGGATTCTCTACGAACCGATGTCCATAATTTTGTTTCCTCGGTGGTAAATTTACATTAACTAATCGATTAAATTTTATTTTAACCCCAAACATCTAAAGACTATTTGCAGTTTTGCCAGAAAGTTGCTTGAAGAGCTGGAAATGAAGTTTTCCCATGTCACCTCCGATATCAAGTTTTTGATGGCCACCTATTTGGATCCGAGATACAAGCAAGCCTTCTTTACCGAGCGAGAGGAGCACTTGGTGGCCAATGAGGTTTTGCTTCAGCTCACTAGAGCGCATGATGATCGCAACGGTCAGGCACCGTTGAAAATAATCAAGGTGACATCATCATCCTCCATCAAGAATGAATCAAAGATTGATAGTATACTGGATAATATACTGACAACTGGCCCTACCAGTAATACTCAACAGGCAACAACGTCATTTGCCTGCCAGTCACAGATTAAGAATCTTCTATATTTATACAACTCGGAGTCCAGAATCGATAGGAACATGGATCCCCTGATGTGGTGGAAGACAAACATCAAGTACAGTTCACTGTACGCCATTGTCCGGAAATTTTTATCGGCACCAGCAGCAAGTGTGGCTAGTGAAAGTCTATTTAGAAAATCTGCACACTTGTATCATGATATGCAATCGGGTCTGTGCTCCGACAGTGCATCCAAGATATTACTGATAAAGTCAAACTATGGTGATTCGGACATTAAAGAATAGAGTAATTACTGGGAGCAATACCAATTAGTGAAAACTACAAGTTAAATTATATAATTTAAACTCTTTGTACATAATTTTAGCTTTGAACTTAATACTACTTGATCGCCTGGAAAGTTAGATTTGCACTTTAGCCGAATATATGTCTGGTCGGGTCCTAGCCCCTGTAATCGGGATCATTGTGTTCCTCCTCGTCTTCCTCCTCCTCTTCTTCTTCATCTAAAGTATACATACGATTATCATTTTGTTGATGTTAAATAAAATAAAAACTGTGAAACTCTTACCGTGATCACGACGTTTTCGTGTGTAGGCTCGTTTGCTGGCGACTGGCACTTGGTCAGTTTCGCCATGCAGCAACGAA